AAGCAAATTTGTATGTGAGAATATCCAATTATCTAATATTAAAATTAATATATATTCTACTATTTTTGTTCTTTTTTAGGTCCCTTTTGCTCGATTCTTGGCCATGAATGGTTCTCAATATCAAAATATCAAAAGATATCAAATTGCAAAAGTTTACAGAAGAGATCAACCTGCCATGACTAAAGGTCGAATGCGTGAATTTTATCAATGTGTAAGTTGAAAATCGTTTTATAAATTTATGTGTTTAATAAGGGCGTTGACATAAATACTTTAGGAGGGTGGGTCAAAGCAAAACACATAATTATTAATTACTTATTGTGGGTTTCATTCTTTATGTTGTGGGATCATTTTAATAGGATTTTGATATAGCTGGTGTTTTTGATCCAATGATCGCTGATTCAGAAGTTGTGAAAATCATGTGCGAATGTTTAACAGCCCTTGATGTTGGTGAATACATTGTTAAGGTAAATGCTTTATTATATTCAAAATATTCATCAAAATATCCACTTGACCGTTCTGGATGCTGTTAAAGAAGCTGCACGAATGTAATTATCTGATTCCCTCCGCAAATTCTTTTTTTTTTCCTGCCATTAATTGTCTTTTTCTGTTGGTAGCATTTATACAGTTCATGATGAAGCCAAAGATAAAGAATTTGAAGTAGAATTGAGCTGGATAACTGAGGTAAATAGACGACATCAATTTGTACCTGATGACATTGCGGCAGAAGCGGAAAGATTGGCAAAGGTTCCTATACCTTTTAATAAGTTCATAATTTATTATTGCAAGGTCATTTTAACATTTTGAATTTTTTATAGGAATCACTTAATGAGGAAATGGAAGATGATTAACAATCCATCTAATCTTTAAATATTGAACTATTTAAAGTAATAAAAATTTTTACTTAATAAACTCATGTTATTACACCATTATACAACCTAAAATTTTTGTTCTATTAATTCTAATGGTAACGATTGTATTAATTGAAATCTTGAATAGTTAGAATACTATTATGAATTCTTCATTAATATACTCAGAAAAAGACATATTATGATAATTATGATTAGTGATTGAGATCGGTCAAAAAATTGAGATAAATCATTATTTTTTTTGACTAATTCCTAGTCCACTTATTAGGTCGGTTTTGTTAGACCGATTGGACCTCCAGTTTAATAATATATTGATTGTAGATATTATGCATCGTAAGCAAAAACATGATTGTCAAAATTATATCCAATAGATATAATGTTTGATACTTTATCCTTTGTTACAAGTGTACGCGTTAGTAAAAAAAAATACAATGACATTATTTTAAATCTATTCTTTAATATGTAGTATATAAGGGTCGTTCTAAATGAGGGCTCTTCATATATACTATCCTTTGAATAAAAACATCCTTCACATAGAACTTAGAATATTATATTAAAATCTAATTTTAATTCCGGGTTTAAAATGATAAACCTGAAAAATTCTAGATATACATGTCACATTTCTTAGGAACATATAATTTACATTAAAAATTAATATTACGGCTTTCCTAATCTTTTCTTTAATTCATTTACCATATCACTACGTTTTATGGAAGCACCGCCACCTTCACCTTGTTCTTTAGACCTCATATCTTTAATTCTGACTTCACCCCGGTTTAATTCATCACGACCAATAATAACCGCAAAAGGAATTTGATCACGATCACATACTGAAAATTGAGGTTGTAATTTTGGTTTGTTCTTGTACATAAATTCGGCCTATCAGAGTGAAAAGAATTAAAATTTGTATCAATTCTGGATTAGATAACGAAATACAACAAACCTTAATTCCAGCATCCCATAACTCTGAACATATCTTCATTCTATCTTCCAATAAACCATCAGCAACAGCCATTACATAAACTTCTACTTCATTTGCCTTTATTTGTTCGAGTGCAGCTTTTTGCAACAAAATAGAAAACACACGTTCTACACCTATAGAGACGCCAACACATGGTATGTTACCCTTTTTATTACTGGCAAACATACCCACAAGATTATCATAACGGCCACCGGCAGCAATAGAGCCCACACCAACTGTTGTTTCATCAAGTTCATCGGAATCTTTTTTGGTCTTTCGAACAATCTGGTTTCCATCTTTGCTTTCTGCGCATAAAAATAAAGGAATTATACATCGATCGCTTAGACACGTTTACAATAAGCTATATTATCTACTTACTAGGTGGTCCAGATTGTTCAGTTACGGCTTCATAAATAATACCGGTATAGTAATCTAGTCCTCTGGCAAGACTAAGGTCGAAAGATATCTTTAAATACAAATAATATAACAATGGTGAATACGAACATAAATAAAAAATAGTAATATAAAAGTCGAGAAATGCTTTCAGCAAAAAAAAATACCTTATCTAACACTCCAAATATTTCCAAATATTTAAAAAGGAGGACCATGTCATTTAAACCGGCTTTAGCATTATTATTGGAAAGTAATGATTGGTCTAAAAACAATTTGTCCAAAAGTTCTTTATTGCCTAAAAAAAAAAAAAATTAAAAAATAAAAAAGTTAACGTCTAAATTTCACGACCTTAAAAATTGTTAAATGAACATACCTTTTAATTTAACGTATTCTCCTATGCGATCAGCAATGCTAGGATCTAATCCTTTCTCTTCTGTCATTTCTTTTTTGACATCCTCCCATGGCAACTAATAAAATCACATAAATGTTAAGAAATGCTAAATAAAATACTTATGCTAAATTAACTAAATTAGCAACATTTACCTTATCTAGTTTATCCACAGCGGAAGATATGGGTCTAATACTTGAGTCTGGAACACCACAAATTTGGAAAATTCCGTCTAATATTTTTCGGTGATT